ATCATTAATATATTAGCGTAATTGTGTAGCTGTAATACAGTAAATTGAGGCTCTAGGGGCGAACCGCTGTTGACCGTATTGTCAATTGTTGATACGATGAAACTAAGACTAAAAACAATGTTTTCTTTGTAACTGTACTTACTGATTTAAGTTCGGACATTTTACTTAAAGAAAGTCTTTTTGGTTTTCTTCAATTGTCTCGAAAATCGTAGTGATTCCTTGAAAATGCACCGCTGCACGGCGTTGCTTGGTGAACTTGCTATTCCAAAACAACGAAAACAGCTGAGATCTTGAAAGTTCTGTCTTTAAAATATAACTTTGAACAATAATTAAGCTACACGAAAAACTATTTTTGTGCAGTCTTGGTCAATGTTTTGACCCATAAGATCAATTCTTTGCTGGGTMGATGCGGTCTTGCTTCGTAGACTATCACAGTAAATGGCTTTTTACTAGTAAATATTTACATTTGGGGGTACAGCCAACAGAGGGGGATTGGGACAATAACATGCAGAAAATTGAAGAAATTCAATAAAAATTGAGTTTAAAAAATGGAAGGAAATAAGAAAATTTAGAACTAGCAAATACACAAAAGCGAGAAAAAACAATTTCAAAAATAAGGTGAAATCCGTAAGATCTTATCAAAATGGTACTGGATGATCCCTGTTTCTCGGGGTACCTGTGGTAAATTTCCCGCCAAACAGAGAGTGGCGCGCGCTCAGGAGCTCCACGACGAGTAGTACTCTGTTTCGACGCGGCTCCGGGGTTTTCTCAGACAAATAAACTTGGACTTTGCTTCCTACATCGTCCATCGCTGTTAAGTAAATTATCGTTTTTGAGCAATGATTTAGTGATTGAAAAGGCTCAGAAGGTCAGCTTCATATTTTCCTAATTTGTGGAGAATTTAAGCTCAAGTTTATTTAGCTGCCATATTTTTCAAGACAACACCAAGCGACTAACTTCAAAGGAACTTAAAAATTGTAAGTTACAAGCTTGAGTTAAATGCAAATAACTTACTGTAAACCTCAACGTCTCTGCAGTCTACTTGTGCCTCATATTCGGGAAAAGATAGGTAGAAAATCTTTTATTGCTCTCTGACTCTCGCTCCTTCCCAGAAATAAGCTTATAAAATGTTCCTTGAGAACAAAGTCTGTTGAGTTCCTCGCTGAGACCGATCGCATGTTTTGGCATGTTGTTTTGCCTTGTACAATGACTGAAACATGGCGATATTAGACATTACGAAAGGAGACAGTTTATTTCACTTTGGGAAGCTGAAACTTCGAATAGATCACCAATTACAAAACTGTTGACGACAAAACTATTGACACCCAACCAAGCACTCCAGTCATATTATGATTTAAATACTTTATAGACATTTCATTATTTTATAAAAACAACTCAAACATTTATTTGGAATTTACTATAATACAAAATGATAATAACACAYCCTATACTAATAATTATTAAAATAATGAATTTTGTCAGAACAAAAAGATCATTTTAAGTCTGTTTTTTCATCTCTTCTTTCTGTTCTTTTGGACCTTTCTTCAAACCAAAACTGCTTCCTTTTGTCGAGTCAGTGAAATGCAACAAAATCTTGACAGTCAAAAAACCTGCAAAGATAGTGAAAAAAAAGGAAAAAATATCTATTATTATCATTCTATTACTTTTAAAGAGTTAAAAAAATAGCTTAATAACAGAAAATGCACAACCATAAAAATAACATTTGCGCAATAGACTGTAGACAGACAACTGGGAAATATTTAGATTGAAAGCAATGTCACTAGTTCCCCTCTATTAGTTAGCGACATCTGATTAATTACAGGGCCAATCAACTTATGGTATATTGTAAATGAATAAGATTTATGCCACATACTTAGTAATGCCATACAGTAGAAACGTTGGCTTGCACTTACCCACTAAAAAAAGTCCTCCAAAAATCAATAATACATKTATATCTCCTGACACAAGAGCAGCAATAATATATGACATAAGAGGGGTGAAGAGTAGGRCATTCCATACTGCAACAGCTATTAGATTGCGTAGAGTACGTGGATACACTCGCCGAGGTGCAGAAAATTCACCATGKTCTATGAAATATTGCATAGCTTTGTCCTATATCAAAAAAAAAAAGATTAGTGACAAACTATAGAGGTCATATACAGTCAACTCTCACTATTACGGACACCCTCAGGACCGTAATTTAATGTCCGAAGTAGCGAGAGTCCGTATAGTAACGAGAGTTACTTTCAGCCATTTCTCTGTATTTTTTGCCGGGGATTCAGTATTTCACTGTCCGCAATATTGAGGTGTCTGTTGGAGCAGGTTGTCTGTAAGGCGAGAGTTGACTATATATCCTTTTCCTATATCATTAGATGGACTTCATTAAGTCATTCAAATTTTACAGTTCACAGTGCCATCTTGAAAAATTACTGACTTTTGAATCAAAACAAGACAGCAGTTGAGCTTGAAATGATAGATACATGTACATGCAAATAATTGTGTTATGTGTGAACAAAAGATATCTATCACTGCAGGCTCAACTCCTGTCTCACTTTGCRATGTTTGGATATCTTTCAGTATAATGTACTTTGAATGGAGTATTGCACTAGCAACACAATGATGTATTAAACAACATAACTTCGGCCTTTACATCACAAAATTTTACCTTTTCCACAAATTGCTGTCTGCACCAATCTGAGGCTGCCTCTAAAGAGTCTGTTGGTACTTCACKTATAGGAATGCGGCTAAGAATAAATAAGAAAATATTGGATTGACACAAAGCCCACACAGATATATGTCTGTATTACATATATGAAAGTTGGGAAAGAACTAGCCACACGAGAGCATAATTCACTACCATAGAAAGTACTTGGACCATAGAAAGTCTGACTCTACCCGCATTAATCACAAAACAAACAAGCCGCAAGAATTGTTATTTAATAAAAGTATTCAGCTGAAGGATTCAAAGCCTTTTCTCATGTACTTACAACAATCCTACAGCAAGAAAAGACTGAAGAAAAAGTTGAATAACTCATCACAAGTTCCTGATAATATTCAGTTGCTTACCGAACCAAAAGATGTGCATCAAATGTTTCTCCYATGAGAAGCTTTCTTATTGTAGGTTCTGATCCTGGAGCGAAGCCCACTTCCATGTCATACACAGCACCAACTACAAGACAGGATAATTATAAACAAACTGCTAAATAAAGAGATATAATATACAGTATATGTGTAAGACAGAGCTCTTGCTATCTTTGCAGCTTGCAATGTTTCAGATGGTGAAAAACGGCGGGTCTTTGGTCTTGGATGCACATTTTTACTTAGCAGTGCAAAGTACTATTAGTACTATTAATCACAAACTGCCACAAAATGAAAGATTATAATCTATCATAGCTAGGGTGTGTACTCATCCTAGGGGTATAGAATGGTGTCTCAGAAATCGTGAGGCTCGCCAAAAATTTCCCAAGGCTGGCAAGGTCAGCCCTTAAAAGAATTCAGATTTAAAATCAGTTTTGGCTCAGAAGCTCGCAATTGCAGAAATATCGGAATCGTTCTGCCAAAGGCTCGGGCTAAAATTTTAAAACTAGGGGCTCGCAGGCTAAGCAAGGCTCAAATTTTACCATTCGATACACCTTATCCTCTGAAGACACAATTAATTTGCTATATTCTCAACRAGTATTTTACACGATGCATGCCAGAAGCCTGCCTGTTTTACATAGAAAATTTCACACACCTTTGTCCTTTAGCAGRTGAGCACTGACTGCAAAGCCCCTTGGCCTTGGCAATAAATGATGGTGTAGCACTGGCAGCCCTGACTTCATAGCATGGTCCTTACTTGCTTGCAGCTTAGCATCTGTAACACGTGTCCCTTCACAGAATATTCCAATCTGTATATTAAAGATAACAATCATTTTGTTAATAAAAGAAGATCCCAACAAGGGGATTGGACACGCGGTCATTTTGGACARTGTGCGTATATTAGACTCCCTCATTATAGGGGACAGTTGTCCTCATCRGAGATTCTGAGRATGAYCMCCAAGTGMTGAAAAGAACAAYAAACAAAGAAGCTRCAGTTTCAATTCTCCTACCCAATATGGAAAKGGAAAGTCTTCATACTGACTCAAACTTTTCTCTAAAACTCTTCTGTCATTCTTCCAATCTCTTTTAACAAAAGCATACTCAGTGCTCAACCAGCTTATTCCTAATATGGGAAGGAACTTTAAGTAGGACTTCATGAAGCACTTTGTTGCCTATTTATTAGAAAATAACATAAATAAGTTAGAAATAATAATAATAATCATTATCAAATAATTTTTAAAATATTAAATAATCAAAAAAAGTTTTTAAACATTAAATCCTGTATTCTTAGGTACACTATGGACTTTGTAGTTTACAGTGTGGGCAGTATTAATTATATTAAATTTATCCTTTTGTATTCTTGGAAAGCACAGGAAATGTGCCAMAGGAAAACCATTTAGATTTAAGCAACAACAAGATTAGCCAATTTTTATGGTAAGACTTGACCAAAGGTTGGCTTGAATTTAACTGGAGTTACAGCGGAAATCGTTGCATCGCTACCTCTTTGTTTTGAAGTTTGTCTGGATTTTGTTCTCTCTTTCAATCTGAGGKGCGGAGGTTTTCGAAAACTCGTTCAATCATTGCCTGATTAGTATCAAGCTCTGCCCCCAAGTCGCAGAAAAACCTAAATCCCAACTATTTCCTTTCAACATTGAAGTCGCGATGCAGCGGTTTCACTGGATATTCAAGTTCATAATTCTTTTAAAAACTCTTACTCCTAGTGTTCCTGCACGGTCAGAYAGTGACCATCCAATGAGCCAGTCAACATCGCTGCGATGATTTGGTATAACTAAAGCATTTTCATAACCTAAATAGCTATAATCTTCTTCAGAACCATAAAGTATTATATTGACACCTCCATACCACTCACATAGAAAGGTTAGCTCTAAAATCAAATGAAAAAGAACAAAATTTGAGTATAATTTATAGATTAAGCAAATCTTTGCAGACGTCAGTGTTTCCATTTTATTCATAAAACATAAACATTTCACTTTTAGACCATTCATATAACGACTGAGTTTAAAAAGAATATGGCATGCTACGATTTCATTGAAAATATGAGCTCTGTACATGATTGTAATAGGATAAGTAGTGCTTTGCCACACAGCACTCTTATAAAATGAGCATGATGCAATAAGCCCAATTTTTGGAAAATAGTTAAATGCCCAAGAGACAAAAATTTCCTAGAAACAATATGACCAGACTACCTAAGCAATAAAGTGAAATTTACTTACGGCACCAATGTAGGTACGCAAGACCATTGTTTATCCATCTATAATRTGTCTTCTTGATAATCCATAGAGGAAGGGTCATTATTTGAATTATATTAAGAATAACACCACTAACTAAGAACACTAGTACAAACCATAGTGAAATACCAGGGACTTTTCTTAGAAAAGCAAAAAATCCATCCATTTGTAATAACTGAAAGAATGACAAAAAAAGTTGTTACTGTAGTAGAGACGTAGTACCCAGACTAGCTATCTGTAGATCTGCAACTACAGTTATTATTTGTTATTATAAAATTTTTCATACAATTAACGCGCACTCTGATTGACTCAAGACCATGTTTTTATCAGAGGACAGAGACTCGCGCCGTTTTGTATTTCTTAAATAAAATTGTTTTAGTTGTTGTTGGAGGTTTTTTGTCAACATCTGGAATAGTATACACACCTCCCTCCCACACCATCCCTACCCCACCCGGACCACAGATTACCTAATTCAAAGAAACAAAAGCTTAAATTCACCGAGCAAAACCATACAATGCCCATAAAATACAAGAAAACACGACCAGAATACAATAGG